TTCATCATAATTTATCATTCCATCTTGTAGCATAAAAGATTGTCAAACTTATATGTATGCATGTATGTATGTACGAACACATGTATATGTATGCATGTATGTATGTATCACATTGTCGGAGTCGACTTCTGAAATAATTTCCTGGATGGCTTTGTCATCATGCATGCCGTAGTCACGAAGACCTTGCTCTAGCTCTTCTATGGTGATGTACCTACAAGTATGCATATCGCTATTAATTACGGTAAGTATCGATACTAAAATCTCGGTTTTTGTTGTTATAACTACCCGCTATTGTCTTTATCGAAGTGTTGGAAGGCTCGGTATAGATGTTCCTCTCGATCCATTCGGTTCATGTGCATGGTGGCCGTGATGAACTCCTCGTAGTCTATGGTTCCGTTGCCGTCAGCGTCGGCCTTTCGTAACAAACAAGTGATGAATGAGTACGAAAAAAGAACACCATATATGGAATCTTTGGAAAACAAGACTTACTGCCTCCATTAGTTGTTTGGCTTCGAATTCGCTTAGCTTTGTTCCTTGCTTCGCGAGGCCTTGTTTCAGTTCTTCGAGCGTTATTGTCCCGCTGTTATCCGTATCCATGCCCTTGAACATCTCCTTCAATCCCTGGATTTCTTCCTCCGATAAACAGCCCACAATGACCCGCAAAGCGACTTTCTTGAAGTTGTTCATCGCTTTGAACTGTTTGAGCCTGAGCAGAACCGCATTGTCGAGTGGTGTATCGGGTGCCTCTCCATCCTCTTTGATCCACGGATGATCTGTTGATGGCCATACACTTGGTCAGCCGACATATTTTTCGATCGCACCGTGTTTATCACAGTCATGAACCACTAACCACATAATGCTACAAAGAAAAAAGCATACATACTTAGTACTTGTTGGGTTGTCAACCGTTGCTTGGGATCCAAGTTAAGCATTTTCTGAACAAGATCCTTCGCTTGAGGTGAAATATAAGGCCACGGATCAATCGTAAAATCGACGTCGCCGCATAAAATCGCACTAAAGATCGCATTTTCGTTTTCTATATATATCCGAAACAATCATCTTAGCTTCATGCTTCAAGATATGTGTATGTATATAATTACTTACCTCCCCAAAAGGGTGGAACACCAGATAGAAGAATGTACAAAATAACTCCAATGCTCCAAATATCAGCTTCTGGTCCATATTTCCTATCCAATACTTCCGGTGCTATATAATACGCGCTACCGACGACATCCGCAAATACATCACCTGTTCCGAAAGCAGGAATTAGCTATGTTCGAGTTTGATGACGGTTTTCGGTTTTTTCGAATCTTTACCTGGCTTGTAAAAGACAGAAAGACCGAAATCCGTGGCTTTGAGTGGGGAATTTTCCTCTTGGTTCAAAAACAAGAAATTCTCCGGCTTGAGATCCCTATGGAAAACCCCCATCGAATGACATGTATGGACGATTTGAACGATGGTTCTCAGTAACGAAGCGGCCGCGTGCTCGGTGTAATGACCCCTGGAGATGATCCTATCAAACAATTCTCCGCCGGCGCACAGTTCCATCACCAAATGGACCGAATTTTTATCCTCGTAAGCGCCTTTGAGTTCAACGATGTTCGCCTGCCCCGTCAAATGGTGCATGATCTGCACTTCCCTCCTAACATCCTCGATGTCTTCCTTTTTCGTGAGATTCCTCTTGGCTATCGTCTTGCACGCGAATTGCTCGCCCGTGGCCTTATGTGTACACAAGTACGTGACCCCGAACTGTCCCCTGCCCAATTCTTTATCGATGTAGTATATCGTTTGGACATCTTCCATCGGACGACACAACACCGTCCCAATGCTAGGCCTGTTACGCTTAGAGGACGAACCCGAAGACTCTAGCGACGGAGCATCCTGTTGTTCCGGTGGGGTGTTTGATAAACTATCCTGACGAGACGAACTACTAGAATCAATGTTGTCATTTTTAATCGAGACAACTTGTTCGTTCGTGTCTACGATTTCTATATTGTGACGAGACGAACTACTAGAATCAATGTTGTCATTTTTAATTGAGACCACTTGTTCGTTCGTGTCTACGATTTCTGTATTGTCTCGAGAGCAACAACTCCCCATTTATGATGGGGAAATAAAGTACTCTCGAGACAAATCGATAATCCTATTCGGAGAACAGGAATTATCGAAGCCATGATCGTGGTCGAGGAAACAAGGTTAAGTAGGAAAAAGGAGACAATGTGTAGCTTCATTTTAGGATTAAAAATGATAATTTTGGATGATGTTTTTTATTATTAAATTCCGACAAGTTTTTTAGACAAAGGTTCAGAGGATTTATTGGGCGAACAATAATAAAAGATAAGAATAGTTTTTAAAACAATGATTTACATACATTATTTTTCATCTTTCGTAATTATGAAATTCATTAAGTCTACGATCAAGATAATAAAATGTATTTCAAACCATCTTTTATCAACTATTAGCGGGTTTGTCATATTTGTTATTGTCGTAACCGTCATTCGGGTGGTCTCGGGATCGGGTTCCAACTTGAATTGATGTGATGGAGCCGCTACCGATCATTTTAAATTAGGTTGATCGGACACCTAAACTAACCTTCTATCTACTCTACAATTTACCAGAAATTAATCGGATTCGGGAGTCGATTACAGTCAATGAAGGATTAACACCCTTATACTGCCCTTTCGGTACCAATTTGATTTCCCGATTGTCTTAATTACGAAAGTTGCAATTGAAATTAAAATTTAAAAATTTGATCCGAATTATTTACCTTTGATCGATTTAAAATTACCTAAAAACAAAGTAAAGTCACTGTTAAACAAGATAAAATAAAATTAAAATTAAAATCAAGGCATTAAAGTAAAAAAAATATTAAGGGGGATTAAACTGAAAAGAATTAAAGATTAAGGGTCAAATTGATGTTAATTGAAAGCTGCAAGGAAAAAATAAAAAGTTAGGGGGTCAATTTGTAAAATATAAGAAATATAAATAAGGATTAAATTGAATTAATTCAAAATTAAAGGAAAAATTATGACATGTGACAAAAATGAATTACACATGGAATGCAGAAATAATTTAAAATTTTCATAATTACACTACGATCCTTCCTATAAATACCCATTAAAACCTAAAAAGTTTCATTTCCCCTCCTATTTCACAAAACACTCTCCCCCTCCCTAAAAAATTATCTCAACTCTCTCCCCACACCGGCCAATGGCTGACCAACTTACTGTCCACGCCCGTCTCCCGGCCGCTGCTCTGGCCACCGATGGTAGTGGCCGGAAAAATTCTAACTAGCCTAAAATGCTCATCCCGACATCCTAAACCTAAAATCAAGGCCCGAACACCCTACAAATACTCCCACTGCGTAGATCTAAGCGTGATGTTTCGAAATTTTACCTTTTCCCGACAATGGCTCCTCGCTTTTCGGCGATCTTCGACGAAACAAAGCCTTTGACTTTTGCCCTTGGTTTATGAACGTTTTTGCTTTGGATTTGTTGTCTTGTTGTTGTTGTTTGCTTTGATTCTGCTATGCGATATTTTTTGTCTATTCCTAACCACATGTATTTCTAATTCGCATGCTTTAAAAATAAAGCAAGAAATAAATCAAACATCCTAGGTTTTGAATGAAATTTTGAAGTCGGCTCTAATTTCTTGCAGCATCACAGTTTAGTTCTAAAAGAGATACTCGAGTTCCCCTTCCTAGTGCCCCTTGGCTTGCCAAACCACTAAAGCTGATGTTATGAAACCATCATGAGTATTTCTGGGTAATAATCTGTTTCTTTTTGCTCGTGATGACGAATAGGTCTCTATTATACCTTTACGGGGAGACTCGGCGGAAGTCCTGCTGCCTGCTTCGAGATCAATTGCAATGGCGAGAAAACGTCTCGAGAGACTTCCATGTGGTGGTGGCTCTCCCCTAGCTCATGGTTTAAGCATGGCATGCACATATGGTGAATCCCTCGATTTGTGGCTCGGATTTTACCGAAACGATATCTTTTTAACGTGTTAATGACATATCAATACATATTGGATGCCCTTGCCATGTTATTCCACACTGAGTTTCGAGCTCATGGCTTAGGGTTCATGGGAGTTACAGTCCGTGACTTCTGTGAATGTTGATAAGATTTTACATGTTGATACAAACCAACACTTTCCCTTGCTAATTACTTCATCAACTTTAATGTTATCAGGCAGTCGGGGTTGGGTTAAATGCAGAGAAAAGTGGTGACGTGGGACGCGTAATGGTCGTGGCCGTTACCGACGGAAGAGCCGATATATCGCTGAAGCGGTCCACCGATCCGGAAGGTGATGCCCCTAGGCCCTCGGCTCAAGAGTCGAAGGTACATTTTGACATTATATCTACTGATAATATATTTATGACTGTAAAAGGCATGCTAATCTGCTATCGAAACGGATATGATGATAACGATTTCCGGCCATTACCGGACAGGGGACATGCCACATGCCGTCAAAATATTGTTCCGAACCCTTCATTTGAACCCTATATATCTCTTCTTGTCATCGACACCGAAAACAAGTTCGTTTCGACCGGTTTCGCCAAGGAAATCGCCCGAGTAGCTCAAGGTGCGTCGAAAGGGACATCTATTCCCTTTTCATGAATGCAGAACGCAATGGAATATCATCTCATCGATTTGATCTTGTAGGGAAGTACTGTTATTTGCAAAATGCTTCCGATGCTGTCATCTCAGCTACAACGAAGGAAGCATTATCCGCTTCGAAAAGTTCGTGATTTCGAAGAACTATCGACTTTCACCTACTCGACGATGCATATAATCTACCCAAATGTAAGACATTACACTAGTTTCATTCCAAAACTAGACCCGAAACACTCATTGAACCATGCCCATGTCTGCATTTTGTGTGTGTGTGTGTCCAACATCTTCCCCCTGCATCTCCATTGTTCAGTCATAAAACAGAGATTTATGGTCTTCGAAACGACAAAGATCCTCGATAGGTGTCCGGAACATATTTAGATATGAATACAAAGATATATATATATATATATATATATATATATTGCCTAAGTTGGTTTATGCTCCCTTGACCTTTCACTCAATAAAGCATTATATTCCTTGCTCAGGCTGTTATATTTCTCGCTTAGGTTCTTGAAAGCTTCCCTTCTCTCTTCTGCCGTACGCTTCTTTGCCGCCGGTGTCTTTTCCGTCGTCGTCGTCATCTTCGACTTCTCGACACGAAGCTTCAGCGCTTCGATTTGCTTTTTGAGCTCCTTGATCTTCACTGTTTTCTCCACATGCTGTTTCTGTAGTGTTTCTAGCTCTGATGGTGCTAAAGATTTTCAAATGTCTTAGTTTGGTATAAGAAAAAAGGTTTAAATATGTTACGGGTTCATGTACTATTTTTAAATTTAAGATTTAGTCCTCGTATTTTTAATTTTGCGACATTGAGTCAAAAATTTGGTATCTTTTTCAATTTCATTTTTTTGTTTTACTGTTAACAACTAACTTGACAACTATAAAAAAGGATAAAATACCAAATAATAATGAAAAAAACTTTAAAAGCTTAAAAACTTTACTCATAATGTTTAAAAACCATAGAATAACGTTAATTTTTCAAAACAAAATACAGAATCTCAAAAACCAAAAATTAATTTGAAAAAAAAAAACCGAGGTAACCAAATAGAAAACTAATAATTAATGATAAAACTTAGGATAAATTATGTGTTTAGCACCTAAACTATTAATTTTGATTCGTTTTAGGATCTAAATTTTCAGTTTTTTCAAAATTATATCTAAAGTTCAGTTTTTGTTTCATTTTAGTACCGTCATCAAAACCTGTATTTTTTGTTTCATTTTAGTACTTGTTCAAAATTTAACGCTAAGTTTTGAAAAAAATAAAAGTTTAGGAATTAAAATGGACCAAAACTGATAGTTTAAGTACTAAACGCGTTAAGTTTTTAATGGCGGTATACTAAAATGAAATAAAAACTGAACATTAGGTATGATTTTAAAAAATTAAAAGTTTAGGTATTAAAACGAACTAAAACTGATTGTTTAGATATTAAATGCGTACTTTATCCTAAAATTCATCCAACCAAATACACTCCTACTATTAGGTCAATAATTAATGATAAAAATTAAATGTAGGTTGGTGTTTTTTTTTAAATTTATCGTTAACTCTTAATCTGACAACTATAAAAAAAAGGAAAAATAACTCATCTAGTCCCTATATCAGTTTGATCTTCTTCTTTTTTTATAACTGCTAGATCAACAGTTGAGAGTGAAATTGAGTGGGGATTAGCGGAAGAACCAAGATTTTCAAATAAGAAAAGTACAGGAACTCAATGTCGTTAAATCAAAATAAAGGATTAAATTCTAAAACTTTGAAATAAATAGTACTTAATGGATCTTTCAATAAAAGAAGTGTTTGAAAATATCAAGAATTTAGTACCTGGAGAACCGTAGGAGCTGCCGTTGCCACTGTCTTCCATGATGTTTTTTCCTGCAAACAATAATATATATATATATATATGTCAAGATCTTCCCTATACATAATTTTGAAAACTTTTTATATATTGAAGGATCATATCCGATAATTTGAACAAATACATATACCAGTTGAGAAAGAGAAGCCATGAAGATTACCTCAAAAGTTGAAGCTGTGGAGAGGCAGAGAAAATGTTGCTGAATAAGGTATTTATAAGCATGTATATAGGGTAAATTACGCATTCAATACCTAAGCTATCAATTTTGATCCGTTTTAGCATCTAAATTTAAGCTTTTGTTTGATTTTAGTATCCCATTCAAAATGTACCGTCAAATTTCGAAATTTTTGAAAGTTTAGATACTAAAATGGACAAAAACTGATAGTTTAGGTACTAAACGCGTTATGTTTTTGACAGAGAGATACTAAAATGAAATTAAAACTAAACATTAAGTATGATTTTAAAAAGATTAAAAGTTTGGATACTAAAACTGACTAAAACTGATAATTTAAGTATTAAATTCGTAGTTTACCTATATATATATATATATATGAAACGCATGCATGCATGTCAACAACGTGCATTTAAAACTAACCTTTCTTGAAAGGTCAACTGCCTTGTATTAATTTGAACCCTTTCAGCCTCTTGTATTTTGGACATGCAGACAGTGGGAGGACTTGTCTGCAATTGGAAGGTAACATTCAGGACCTGACACAAAATTTTATGTTAGGGAGTGAATTTGAACTTATAAAATTTTAGAGAGTAAACTTAAATTTATAAAATTTTAAGAGGTGAAAATAATTTTTTATTATAAAATACATAGAAAAAATCTAAAATATAAGATAATTTAAAATTTTCAAGAAGGGCGATTGCCCCCCTCCCTTGATCCATTATCTGGTGACACTAACACATGGTAAAGGAGGAGGTTTTGAAGATGGAAACAAGAAGCTCTGTGATGTAATTTAAAGTTTTCAAGAAGGGCGATTGCCCCCACCCGTCCCTTGGTCCATTATCTGGTGACACTAACACATGTTTGCGTCGTATGATCAAAGCGTCGAGTTTTTTCAAGGATTCACTCGGTTTAGGTGAAGCCTCAACCGTGGTCGGTATTCGATTCTATATTCGACTTCGAACCGAAATAATCAAAACGAGTTTCAAATTGTCCCTGATGACACTGAATCTGTAATGTTCTGTTAAGCAGATGACTTGGATTTCCCTCAACCAGATTCAGATTATAGAGAAAAAAATGGGGTTGTGAAGATCTCAACAATGGAGGATTAAAATCCATACCTCTAAATAAAAGTTCGATTTTTTTCGGATTTATCGATATTTTTAGTAGAATAAATCTCATATTCAAATTCAAAGCTTTGAATTAGCTTTGAATTTGAATCTTTAGTTAAGCTTCTTGATAAATGTTTTGCAATATCATACCTCGGTTTTATTTTCAAGTATATATTTATATCAAATTTACACAACAGCATGGTTATAGTCATGGTAATGGAAGGTCTTGTAGATGAAATGAGCCAACCATCTTGAAGCTGCAAAGCAAATGATGGCGGTCGATACGATCGCTGTTCTAGCCACCATCGACATCATGTTCTGCTTCGTTGCGGCAATGATCCCGATGGAAACAACCGACATGATCTGAAGCATTACTTCGAGTGCATTGAGACCTTTATACGCAGTTCTGCAGCTCTTGCAATTCACCACATGAGTCCAGTACCTGCACAGTTCCAAATGGAAGTCGAGGTCGTAGCTTACGTTTCTCAGTCGAAGGAGTGTCGGGTGCGTGTACATGTTTGTGTCAAGCAACGGTACTAAATTTACCTGTCCATCAGCTGTTCTCTAGGAGGGGACGGAAGAAGAGCTCCACTAGACTTCCCTTTCCAATCAATCTCACCGCCGGCATACTTGTTGAACCACCTCCGGATACCGACCACAAAGGCATCCGACTTTGTAGGCACAAAACAAGCCTTTTGCCAATTGGTAACCCCTATTTCCATTATCTTACGGTCCTACATTGAGAACAAAAGAGTTTCCATTAGAGTGTTGGACACTGGTCTGTGTCCGATACAAGAATGTTCGATTTTATCACCTCAAAATGAAGAAGATACAGATCAGAGTCGAAAAACAGATTCGATCGAATGTGAAACATCCATCTCGGAACAATTTTGTCAATCCAAACAGCAAAGTTTCTCGGGAAAGTCCAAATCACCCTGCTATTACCTGGACTAACCGGAACACACATAAAAATCAAAGAAAGACTTCGATTTGGTGGTGGTGCCTGCACAAATTGCTGTGTGAGTAAAAAAAACCACTGGCAAAACATAAAATAGTTAACCAGATGTTCTGGTTCGAACCTTTCGGGATTCAGAAGATGCTGCAGATCCATCTCCTTGATCAGCCATGGGATCAGTACCGTCATCGACGTAAGAATGAACGATGCAAGGTGCAATAAAGAACGAATTGGTCCCGTCCTGCTTTCCGGTGAAACCATTTATGTCCAACTTCTTGACTTGCATCTCATATGGTCTGCCCCCTTCTCTGTCAACCTTCACTGTGAACCAGAATGTACAATTTTACATGCATGAATTCCACATCTCGAAACACATGAAGAACTTCTTACCCTCGGGTTCCGGGATGCGTCCTACTCCGTAATGTGCATACGGAATATGAGCAGGATCCATAAGATTCTCGATCAAGATGTCATACCTGAGAACACAAAGTTAGTTTCTCGAACGAATTTCGGAAAACATCGATGATTTTACGCCGTGTATGCTACGCGGATTAGACGAGCTGCATACCCGTAAGGGATATCTCTGTTTCCCATTAGCTTTGTGTATGAAGGATCATCCAATGCAGGAAAATAAGGGGGCTTTTTCTTTGTTATAATATCTTTGTATTGAGGATCAGCATTTGGCCAAACCCATACAATATCATTCTGCACCGTGCTCGGATACACAGCCACACATGCTTTCTTGAATGTATGCACCTGCAAACTTGAAAACGAAGTTATATACGAGTTACTTTTTTTTTCAAAACCGTACCTAACGCGTTTTGTATTTAAACTATCAATTTTGATAATTTTATTACTTAATATTTCTTTTTTTTTTCAAGACTTAACTTTAAATTTTGAACGGGTACTAAAATGAAACAAGGGCCAAAGTTTTTAACTTGACATTAAAATGAAACAAAAATTAAATTTTAAGTATAATTTTAAAAAAATTAAAAGTTTAAATACTATAACGGATCAAAACTGACAGTTTAATTGTTAAACGTGTAATTTACCCATAATTATTTGATTACAACTAACGTAATAAATCTAAGATGATAGAAACAGTAACAAACAAAAAGAAGAGATTAAACACGATGAATACTACTTAAGAGAAAAGGGTTTACCGGGGGTGCATCGGAGGGAGCTTGAGGAATGAGTTTGCAGTCACCATTGCCACCAAAGCACCAACCATGGTAAACACACTGCAATCTTCCCCATTGATCGATTCTCCCCTCCGACAAAGGAGCCAATCTATGAGGACACATATCATCAAACACCTTCCATTCATTCTCATTCCTATCCCACCACACCACGAGATCAAGCCCCAATATCCTCTTCGCCTGCGGCTTCGTTTTATCCAAGTCACACACCGGCATCACCGGGTACCAATGTGAATACCAATCGAATTTCTCTTTCCCGTCGTCGTCGATCTCAATTTCCGGCAGAGGTGGCTCGACGGATTCCGTCGTTGGGGACGATGATAATGTCGTAAACAACCTGGATTTCGATGGGTTTCTGTGAAGAGGATTGAAAGATGATTTGATCCCAGATTTCAACAAAAAGGTGGGTTTATGAAATTGGGTGTTAGTAGTTAAAACGCTCGGTGCAGAAACAATGGAAGAAGAAGCTCTGAGAACGTCCATGGCTGATGATTTTCGTTTGTTTCTTCTTCTGCTTTAAACTCCTATTTAAGCTCACAAGCTTGAGTAACGAAGGGAGAAAGAAAGTGAGCAAATGAAAATGAGTGATGAGTTGACTCGTAACTTCTCTATGAAAAGTTGACTGGGAAAACAGCAGTGAGCTCTGTATGGCTAAAAATGAAGGGTGAGGCTTCATTTTTTTCTTCGAGTTTCTCTATCGTTCATGTAGTAATCTTTGAATTTTCTGATCACATTAATTCTTCAATTTGACTTTTACTATAACATGGGGTAAATTATGCATAGTACCTAAATTATCATTATAAGTCCATTTTAGTACTTAAACTTTTAAAATTTTCAAAATCATATTTAATTTTAGTTTTTGTTTCATTTTATAATCCACCGTTAAAAACTTAAACAAATTTAGTACCTAAATTATCAGTATTATCCGTTTTAGAATACACTTTAAAAAAAATCAAAACCTAACATTAAATTTTTAACGGGATACTAAAATAAAACAAAAACTAAACGTTAAGGATAATTTTAAAAATTTTGAAAGTTTAAATATGATAGTTCATATACTAAACTTGTAGTTTATCCTATAATATATTAGTCCGTCACTCTAATAACATTATGACATCATCATGAGAGTGAGTATTTGATGAGGTCGAATATTTTTTTTTGAAAATTACTCAAATTTACATATATTATTATATATGGTCCCTAAAATCATTTAAAATTTTGAGAATGAAATTAAAACATTCAAAAGTTTAGAGATTAATATAGAATGAAGGTCATAATTTGAGGATGACTTTGAAATATTCAAAAATCAGGGATCAACTTAAAATAAAAGTCATAATTACAAGATGAAATTTGAAAGTTTAAAAGTTTATAGACCAATTAAAAATATGAGTCATAATTTGGGGATGTTTAGTGTAATTAACTCATTTTAATGTTATTTTCTACAAGCTTGAACTAAAAAATTTCCTAAAATACACTTTTTTGCTTTAAGCACCTAAATTATTTTTTTTATCAAAATAAGTTCTTAAGCTATTATATATAGCAATATTAAGTACCTAAATTATTTTTAGGTCAAAATAAGACCTTATGACTCTTTTTGCTTTAAGCTCCTAAATTATCTTTTTGTCAAAATAAGTACCTAATTTTGTGTGACGTGTCAATATCTTATTGGCCGAAAATAATTTTCTAACAAAAAAATAAGACTTAAAATAATTAAATAAAATAGTTTAAGTAATTAATTTGACGAAAAATAGTTTAGTACTTAAAAGCAAAAAAACACAGTTTAAATACTTATTTTTACTTTAAACCGTTTCAAAGTAAAGATTTCTGGTGATAAAATATTAATAAGAGAATAAAAAAATCAAGAATCGATAAAATATAAAGAATTACAGTTGAATGATCAAAATGAATAAAATATAGATTTGAAAGACTAAATTATAAAAAGAAAAAATTTATGTTTTATTAAAGAAAGTCAATCTTACATACAACGTAAAGGGTGTATACTCGCATCAAATTTACACAAAGGCGTGGTTATAGTCATGGTAATGGAAAGTCTTGTAGATGAAATGAGCCAACCATTTTGAAGCAGCAAAGCAAACGATGGCCGCCGATACGATCGCTGTTCGAGCTGCCATCAACATCATGTTCTGCTTCACCGCAGCAACGATCCCGATGGAAATAACCGATACGATTTGCAGCAATACTTCGAGGGCGTTGAGACCTTTATACGCAGTTCTGCAACTCTTGCAGTTCACCACATGAGTCCAGTACCTGCAGGATCCCGAGTCGAAATCGAGTTTGTATCTTATGTTTCTCAGGCTAAAAGTAACGGATGTGTGTACATGCTCTATACGCCGGAAGGATATATCTTCGTACTTAAGTTCCGATATATGCCGAATGCGGGTGTTGAATACATGTACTAGTGATGAGTAGGAGCAGTATAACAGAGTTACTAAATTTACCTGTCCATAAGCTGTTCTCTAGGAGGAGTTGGAGGAAGAGCTCCACTAAACTTCCCTTTCCAATCGATCTCGCCGCCGGCATACTTGTTGAGCCACCTTCGAAAACCGACCACTAAGGCATCAGACTTTGTAGGCACAAAACAAATTTTTTGCCAGTTCGTAGACCCGATTTCCATTATCTTACGCTCCTACATTGTGAAATAAAAATGTTCCGATCATGAATGTCACATGCTCGATGTGAATACCTATAATCGTATCTAAATACACGTTAATCGTAGATATCCGACACGAATACCTCCCGAAGAACAAAGAATCTGAACAAGACGAATACCTCAACATGAAGAAGATACAAATCAGAATCAAGAATCAGGTTTTGTCCAATGTGAAACATCCACCTTGGAACAATTTTGTCAATCCAAACACCAAAGTTTCTCGGGAAAGTCCAAATCAATCTGCTATTACCAGGACTAACCGGAACGCACATGAAAATCAAAGAAAGACTTCGCTTCGGCGGTGGTGCCTGCACAATCAAGGAAAGTCTGCAGTCGAATTTTATGCTACAACGGACAATACGGTCTGCCGGTTCAACCAGCTGATCTAAATAGCAACATAATGAAGTAAATATGAAACCTTTTGGGATTCAGAAGACGTTGCAGATCCGTTTCCTGGATCAACTTCGGGATCGGTATCAGTATCAGAACCGGCGAAAGCATGAAAGATGCAAGGTGCAAAAAATTTCATATTGCTCCCTTCCTGCGTTGCAGCATAACCATTTACGTCCAGCTTCTTGACTCTCGTCTCAAGTGGTCTGCCCCCTTCTCTGTCGACCTTCACTGCAAACCGAAACGTGCAATTTTAGATTGCATGAATCCTGTATCGTGAAACTCATCAATAACTTCTTACCTGTAGGGGTCCGAGTGCGCATTAGTCCATAATGTGCATACGGAACATGAGCTGGATCCATAAGGTTTTCAATCAGCACATCATACCTGAAAAATGCAAAGTTAGTTTCTCGAACAAACTTCACCGAGCATCGATGAGTTTTGTGTCCCCTATGTCACTCGGAGTCTTCGTTTTATTTGAAGTATTCATGTTCCGCAAATGTTAGAGAAATTTTCAACGAATAAACGAGCCGAAGAACTCGCGTACCCGTAAGGAATATCTCTGTTTCCCATCAGCTTTGTGTATGAAGGATCATCCAATGCAGGAAAATAAGGGGGCTTTTTCTTTGTTATAATATCTTTGTATTGAGGATCAGCATTTGGCCAAACCCACACAATATCATGCTGCACCGTGCTCGGATAAACAGCCACACATGCTTTCTTGAATGTATGCACCTGCAAACTTGAAAGCGAAGTTAAATACGAGTTACCCCTTTTTCCGATAACACGACACACCTACGCATCGCACGAATTCGGCAAACATAAACTACGACACAAGTTCGAAATTGTCCGAAGAGAAACAGTGTATATATACGCGCGCAAACACACAAGCCCTTTTAACTGAACCAAGTGATCAGTGATTATAATTTTTTCGATACATATATATACACACACACTATGTTAATCGGATTGGAGTGACCAGCAATGAATGTCATATGTCCAACACAGATATACTTTATATATATATAAATTTTTCCATACGTTTGCAGGGGAGAACATCTGAACTATGTCCTAATTTGTATAAAAAGTATTACAGAGGACAAAGATCTTGCATGTAACATGGTTTCTAAAATGTTTATCTTATCGAGGGATAAAGAATTTGTTGTCTCATAAGTAAGGTCTTGGCTCTCGATAAAATCGACACATACGTCTACAATCTACATAACGTCGGGTCTCAAACAAAAAGAAAAATGCGAAGTTCTCAACTTAAATACAAGATCTATTCTTAAGCTTAAACATCAAGTTTTGTTGAGGTAAGAAATGAGATTGTGATGGTTTTAACTGATCACCTCTTTTGATTTAAATGGAGATTCACGTACAATAATTCTATAAAAGATGTAGACTATAAATGAGCTAAGATAACAATGAATAACTTTAGAGATCGAGAGAGTCTAAGATCTTTTTTTAGTCTAGCATAGTGGTTTATGTATAAATTTTTAGTGTTGGTATCCGATTCATGGTAATAATGATTATCTATAGAGAAAAAATAACAATAAAAAGGGTTTTGTAAGAGATACGACAAGTTTGAATACTACCATTCAGAAAATTGAACTCAAAGAATCATTGAATGGCTTCGGTAGTTAAAGAGAATGTTCTTCTCTTTTAAGATTCTGGGTTAAAGCAACTGCATTTGAAGGAGTTTGTCCTTAATTAAAAGAGACTATCAACATACTACCTTGTAATAACATTGTTCAAGAAAATCAAACCCAAGATGTTCCTAACTATTACGGAAGAGTAGGAGCGATCATAAAACAATAACAAACAAAAAGAAGAGACTAAACATGATGAACATGACTTAAGAGAAAATGGTTTACCGGGGGTCCGTCGGAGGGAGCTTGAGGAATGAGTTTGCAGTCACCATTGCCACCAAAGCACCAACCATGGTAAACGCACTGCAATCTGCCCCATTGGTCGATTCTCCCCTCCGACAAAGGAGCCAATCTATGAGGACACATATCATCAAACACCTTCCATTCATCCTCATTCCTATCCCACCACACCACGAGATCAATCCCCAATATCCTCTTCCCCTGCGGCTTCGTTTTATCCAAATCACACACCGGCATCACCGGGTACCACTGCGAGTACCAATCGAATCTCTCTTTCCCACTCTCGATCTCAACTTCCGGCAGAGGTGGCTCGACGGATTCCGTCGTCGGGGACGATGATAAGGCCGTGAACAGCCTGGATTTCGATGGGTTTCTGTTGAAGGATGATTTGAACACGGGTTTTGATGGGATGTTGTGGAAGATGGGCTTATGAAACTGGGTTTTGCTTGTTGGAATGAATGGTGAAGGTACAATGGCGGAAGAAGCTCTCATGAGAACTTCCATGGCTGCCATTTTCGTTTGGTTTGTGTGGTTTAAACTCTTTATTAGCACGAGATTAAGCAGAGAGGAAAGAAACAAAGAGTGAAGGAAATTGAGGATGAAAGAGATACAGCGCTGAGCTTTGTGAACTATGAGGCTGAAAATGAATTACAAAAGAGTTGACATTCATTTGGAAGATGGCTGCTCACGTACATAAATGCATGTAATTAATATTTTATATTCTACCGTAAATTATATATTTAATACTTAAATTATCAGTTTTAATTCGTTTTAATACTTAAACTTTCAATATTTTTTAAAATCATTCCTAATGTTTAGTTTTTATTTCATTTTAGTATCCGGCATTACAAACTTAATGTGTTTAGTACCTAAACTATTAGTTTTGGTTCGTTTTAGTATATAAACTTTCAATCTTTTCAAAACTTAAAATTAAATTTTGAACGGGATACTAAAATGAAACAAAAACTAAAATTTTTAATGGTGAGGCACTAAATTGAAACAAAAATTAAACTTTAAGTATAGTTTTGAAAAATTAAAATTTTAAGTACTAAAATAGACCAAAACTAATAGTTTAGATACTGAATATGTAATTTACTATTAATGGTTTTTTTTCATTTTATATAATTTTTTAAAAAATTAATTTTTTATATAAAATCTTATAAGATAACTTATAAATTTCATTATTTAATATTTAGGTAAAATACACAATTTTCTCTCTTTCTCTTATTTTACTCACTGTACTTTTAATTTTTTTAATTTACTCACTGAACTTTCGAATCGTTCATATTTAATCATGTTGAATTATTTTATAATTAGGTAAAATACACAACTTTTTTCTCTCTTATTCATTTTTCGAGATTAAGTATATGTTTGATCGTAAACTTGAATCCGATCTCATCTTTAGGAAAATAAACCTGACCAAATTCGAGTTAGAAAAAAAAAAACAACCCCATAAGTTCATAAGAACCGTCGGGTTCGGATCAAATTCCAATCCCGTCATGTCTAAAAAGAATATGTTCAAAAATGCTTTTAGACAGAAAAAGACAATATTGTTCAATTATGGGGGGGGACAAAGCATTGATTAAAAATTACTCAGAATCCTTCTACAGATAACAAAAATTAAAATAAATGAAAGTAACAACATTGTCTTCTGGAAATGGTACATGTGCCCTTGTTAAAGTGTTGTCGGGTCTTCAGCCATGGAAGCTCGAGTATAATTCAAGTAAGCAACCCTTACCATGGATTCTCATCAGTGATTAGCCTTATACAATGCCCTTTTCATGCTGTCAACCATTGACAGGGACCAGCTGCCGGAGACTCGTCGATTCAATACCAGTTTGTTTTATAGGAAGTAGTCAGGCGTCCTTCGAGTTACATCCGGCTCTCCTCTCCTCGGAGCCGGCTCAAACTGTTTGAACACAATGGTTGTTAATGTTCATATAAACATGTCCATACGACTGTTTATACATAGAACAAAAAAAATAGCTCGATCTGGATACAGGGTGGCATGTTTATGCTAGAGAACAGTTTACCTGAATGAATGTATGACCCTGGCAGTCGTCAACTTCCAAGATGGAAGCCATGTTTCCACATCGATAGCAATAATTAGGTGCACTAAATATAGTAACGACCTTTTGTTCCTGTGTAAGAAATGATATCAGTTACACATATCTCGTATAAGAAATCGGATTTCAAGATGAAGCATCAAAGCAGGTCGAGTACTTACATGGCCCCAATTGTACCCTTCCATGACCAGCTGATGAGCCCTAGCAATCAGCTTCAAATTGTTTGTATGGTTAAATTGCTCGGATATGTCCTGAAGATGCCATTGAAGTTATAAGGCAAGATAAAAAAATGTCCTTTGACCATTTCCAAGACATTGAGGACCAAAAAAGCAAAAAAATATATATATACTTGGCCAAAGGTATATCCGGCACCCCTTGGAGAAATACCCCAACCGCATCGATCATCAGGGTCAGACCACAAAAGATCGCACATGGGACCCTCATGAGGGACTTCTTGAACACGGTCAAAGTTACGTATGTTATCCAATGTTTCAATGGATGGAGACAACCCACCATGGAGGCAGAAAATTTCAGATTCAACCTTCAAAACAGAAGAAATCCAGCAGGTAAGAACCATTACAGAAGATCATTCGAAACACCACTATATAATAAATAATGAATACCAACCAAAGCTGTT